GGGGCAAGTGCGCCGGGCGAGCGCAATAAAATCTTTTTGTTTTTCTACTGAGCGCATTTTCGATAGTACATCAGGGAAAATATTCAGCTAAAAACTGTAAACAGATAGTAACATTAACTGACAATAATGACAAAAAATGGGTGTGGGTACAATGAACCCGCTTCGACCTCCTGGAGTATACTCCAAAAGCCTCATCGGCTGCAATTTACTGAACCCCTCGACCCGACGAAATTGTCGCCTCTCCAAGGACGCTGGAGAAGGAGAATCGGAAGAAGGATGAAGCAGCACGCTCTGAGGAAGGCCGCAACGTGTTCTCTGAAAGAAAAGCCACGCTGACAGACGCAGCTCGTCCCGGATAGCATAGATCATCTCCTTTCAAGAAAATATAGGCCTGGTGGAATAACCTAGAAGCAGAATGCGTCAATTCCGCGCCAGGAAATAGTTTAGAAAACGACTGGGAGATTAGTATGTGATCGGCTTCTGACGGTAGGTTTTCCACCTTCAGGGAGTTTTTCCTCAGCCGTACCATAAGGCCTCTTTTCCGCGGATTTGATGCCATGGAGAGACCACTTGGAGTGAATTCGAAAGTTTAGAACGCGATAGGATGTAAGTACTGTAATGGCATAAAGGTCTTGGGCCTAACCACATAGTATGGAGTTATTTAATTTGTAATGTGGAATAATTATCTATTAAATAAAGTAAATACTCGCTCCAATATAATAAAAACTAATTAAATTAATGGCATAACGATTGAATTCTGTTTTATTTACGCGAAAACAGTTACAAATTGTGTGCGTCGTGATATGGGAAAGAGTTAATTTGAAGTTACATTTATCTGTTAGGTCACATAGAAAATATTCAAAAGTGATCTGCTTTCTAGAATCAAATTAAATTGGCGCAGTAGACTCTTGCTCATGCATCCATGAAGGTGGGTGCACAGCTTGCAGTGCGCCCCCGGGAAAGATGGTAAACATTTCTTCTACACCAAGACGTGAAACGGCGCGCCCGAGCTCCTTGCCCGGCCGGGGGCCGGCGCTCCTGCGGCCCAGGCAACTTCCCCTTACAACCCACGAAGGGGAGCAATAGTGGCATCACTCGGAAATATGTTTGCCACATTTTTCTATCAAATAACCGCTAATTGTATTTCGTTTATGTCCTTCACTGCTTATAACTATTACATGTTTATTTTCTTACCAAATTATCCTTTATATAAACATAATTGCTAAATGACCGGAATATATTTTAATGGAGGTCTTTCCTCGTTTCACTTGTGAGTTGTGTTATTAAATCATTCAGTTATTTATTGTATTTAGCAAAAATATTAAAAAATGAAGAGTATCAGTTAACAATTCTCGCTCGCGGACGGAGCTTTTGACAGACAAGCACATATGTCTGTCGAACCTTATAACTTGAACGTAAAAAGTTCATGCTCTCATATCACTCCTAATTAAATAGGTTTACAAACTCACGATACAAAGTAGAGAAAAGAATATTCCCTAGCATGGTAGAAAATAGAGTTCTTTATGAAGGAGAAATGTGATCCCAACCAAAAAAATAGGAGACCAAATAAGAGCAGTGGAAATGGACTATATGAGAACTTGCACACATTTAACATGTATGATAAAGTCTGAAATGAGTCTACATGGAAAGATGGAGGTAATCTGTTCAATTACTAACTGATTAGGAAACAAAACACTCAAATGGTAAGAACGTTCGCAGAGGATGCCTGAAGGAAGATGGCCAAATACATTTTGGAATGGCAACCACTAAGAAGAGTGAGAAGGCTGATAAGGTGTTTTGGGTATTAAAGGATGAAGAAACTGAAGGCAGCGTTGCCAAGATACGTTTATTCAGCTTAAGAACCAGTTTCCGTTGGCGTTGCCGTCAACACCAGTCTAGAATGTACAAAATAAACACAAAATGTTTAAAAAATGAATAACAAAATAATACAAATGATACAAAAAAATAAATTGACATAACTATCATAACACCTACGTAAAATTAATTTTTTGTACTTTTTGTGTTAGTTGAATTATTTATATTATGTTTATTCTCTTTAAGATTTCGTATTTCTTTTGACAGAGGATGCCCGCAAAGCCGCCGAAAGCCGGCTATCTGAATAAATGTAAGTTGACAAATAGGACTTCATTTATTTTATCCATCAAGGAGGAAGAGAGCAAGGCCAATTCTGGAGTGGGGAAAATACATCAAACCAGCCACAGAGAACAGAGTTTAAGACCTGGTGATTGGGAAAAATGAGATATGTGGAGATCGAAAACTGCAACTTCTAAAGGGGAAAAGACGAAGAAAAAAAAGTAGTTTGCTAATACCACACAATTTTGAAACATTGATGAAATGGATATTGAGGAATTTGGTTTAAATAATCGCCACCGTAACTAGTTTTTCCGACACTATGAAAATATTCGAAACCCGAATATTGTCACGTATTATCGAGTAATTAGACTGAAAACTGTGATTGAAAGGCACATTCTTTAAGAGACATGCGATACATTTGAAATTCCAATATAACACGCATTTTAAACACAAAGAGCCATTCTGTTTGGCCTCTTCACCCTGAAACATTCTGTGGTTACGCCCATGACTAAGAACTTGTTGAAATTGCATAGGACGCACACGAGCATTCGACCATTGGGATGGTGCTTGTCCGCATTGAATGCCAGAGGCCCGACGCAAAATAGTCGAGTGTTCTGGCGGAAAGCCATCTGCCAAATGGGCAGGACAACTGGGATTCGGACGAGATTTCTGTTGTGTGTACGACAGTACTTCTCATTCCTGTGTATTGAACATTCTGTCATTTTAATGTCTGAGAGAAGCAGTGATAAAATGTTTCGCAGCCATGTGCACCACTAGTCTTTAGGTGAAATGTCAACTTCGAAAGTTGATAGGCTGCCTCAAGCCGTGAAAATTGTAACCAATCGGGATTTAGTGAACTGTATTCTATCCACAATTAAGAAAATTTAAATTTCATATTTGAAGCAATTTTTGAGAAACGTTTGTTTACGCTTAGGCATTTCTATTTTAAAACGACAATTTCACGCAATTATGCAAAAACTACTTATATTTTGAGGAAAATGTAGGATATCAAATAATTTTGATATACAATGTTGAAACTATTTCTGTAACAGAGAATTTATAGGTTCAAAATTGAGGGTGTAGGGCAAAAATAGGAAAAAATATTTTTGTAACTTTCGAAATTCCAGAGCTTTTAATGAAAAGCAAGCATATATTTATAAATGCACTATTTTCTGGCACAAAGCAAAATAACGAGGCTAACGATGCTCAAGAGCACATACTTTCTCGTGTGGTTTCTAACGGATGAGTAATATTATAACAATTCAACTTCTATATTGCTGACACTTCAGCTACCTAATGACCTAATGCAACTACTGAAGCTGAAACAGCATGTACTTTCTCGCCCGTATATTCACATAGAATTACGCCAAAAGTACTCAAAGTTTCGAAAAATTGTACATGACCTTATTTCAAAATCTATCTTTATGGAAAAGATTACATTAAGGAAAAATATTTCTATCTTTAATATTTTCGTTGTAGGAAGACTCTTTTTTCGTTGAGCTTTTGCAATTTTCGAAATATCAGAGTTTTTAACGAAAATGAGACTTGCACCATTGTCTTAAAAGTCCTTAATTATCCAATAACAAAATTGAATAAAAAACGATGGTTTTTTGAAATGTTGAAAATGTCCCACGGTCTTCATGTACAGAACCCCAACATGAAAATATCGGTTTCAAAGTCAGACGCAGCGATATCAGTCAGATCGATTGAGGAATATCGATTTTGGAAAAATTCCTAAACGGTTTAGCCGCTAGCGTCGACCACAGACGGACGATCGGACGGACAGACAGGCAGACAGACAGGTGTTTTGCCGTCATTTGGTTTTATCAAGGACCCACAAAAGATGGATTCTGACTACACCACGTGAGAGAAATTCCGCCCCCTACATTTAGCAAATTGGTTACCATTTCATTACCAGAGCCCCCCAATAAGAGTTTCTCTGTCGGAAATTCGTCGTTTTTTCGCGCAGGATTACTTAACTTTCTCTCTACTCCGTAACGAGAAAGTAACAACCACGTCGCCGATGTCAAAATTCTAATTTCCGAACGCCAAAATTTCCGAAACTGCGAAAGTTTTCAAACTTCCTGAGATGAAAGGGCGACAGACGTTTGCCATGGTGCTTTTACGTAGCCTCCGCCACGTGCGAAACTGGGGGAACTCCGAATCTAGTACTTGGCATTTTAAAATATTTGGTGGCGTAGTTATGTGCATAAAGTGTGCCGGTTCATGACTGGTGTCGGTATATTGTAGTTGAGCAATACACTAGATTCTATGCATAATGAGCTGTGATCCTTGTGAGAAGTATACACTTTTGTTCAAATATCATTGTTGGAGGGCAGTGTGAAAAAATGTTCAAATTACTTGTGGTGAATGGTGGAATAATTCAAAAAAATATTTTAGAAAAAAGTCTTCTCTGATTCGAGAGAGTTTTGTAAGTTGCTCTTAGTGCAACTGCCCTACGATTTTTATTGCGAATTTGGTAGATACCAAGATAATCATGAAGCACAACTACTGAAAAAATTGTACACTGCACAATTAAGGAAGAAACACTTTTCTAATAATAAAAATGCCATCCAAGTGATTCCTACAAACTCTTTTAATTGAGCTTAGAATCTTACCATTGCCTTGCCTGTTTATTTATGAATCGTAGTTTTTGTCAAAACTTTCTCAAGGGTGGGAATTTACTTCTATGCAATACTGATATTTATAATAACAACACTCGTCGTAGGAATTATATTTTTCAGGCGTCAATATCAACAGTCCACATATAAAGCGTGCATGATTCTTTACAACACTTTGCCTAATGACATTAAAAACTAAAATCTACTACTGCAAACCCGTGCGATTAAATCGGCAAGTTCACAGCGGGATCCTTTTTCTTCTCCGGATTTGTATTCACCGTTTGTATTCATCTCTTCGGACAGGAAAAGGCTTGCATTTTGTCCGTAGGCTTCGTCCCCTCCCGCTGCTGTCTGGCCGCGCTTTCTTGCCTCGCCCCGATACTACCCGCATTACCGCCAAGCTGTGCGTGATGTCGACATTTCAAAAAAATATTTTTGTCTAATTATTTGTCTAACAAGCTTGTCAGGTGGCCGAGATCGTTAGCACAGTAGTGCCGTCTCAGACTAAAAGACCTCGGATTCGAGTGTCGCCTCCTACATGTGTGTGTGTGTGTGTGTGTGTGTGTGTGTGTGTGTGTGTGTGTGTGTGTGTGTGTGTGTGTGCCGTCCTTGATCCCTCACTATCATCATCATTCACATCGTCCATACCCCCAGGACTAACAACCTTGAGGGATAAAAATCGGGATTCAACTGAAATGTAGAACTCCCACCAGAAAGGTACTTGCACCTGTCGAAGCAGGATGCCCGCGTGGTCTGCGAAAAATAGCAACAAAAAACAACAACCATACAACAAAAATATAAACTACGTGACGTCAGGGACAAACACTTTATTTGCTGAGATTGATACAATATATTGATATATGTGGAGCACACATCACCTGCGAATGTTTACATAACACGTTTTAAAAATAGTTAAAATCGCTACACGTGTGACACACACAATGTAATAAAATTAAAAACTGTATTGACCATGGCAGAATGACAGACATTAGTAAAGAAATACAAAATAAAAAACTAACACATAATATATTGTTTCTGCAAATAATATTGTAAGATTTAGTAAATCCATGGGCGTTAAGTAGTATAAATGAAAACTTTATTCTACAATTGGGCTTCTGATGTCCAATAACAAAATAGGTCTACATTTGAAAATTAGTATTAAAATAAATTTACAATAATTCTCCTTGGTAGTTTGCCTAGCATATGAAAGTAATATATTTAATACATACATTCATTTTTCGTCGGCTGCAACATTAGTACAACTCCAAAAATACGAAATTTGAGTGGTGGCACTCTTAAAACATGGAACTGTTTTTATTAACAGAACTCTCATGAAGCCTTCAAATAATTCTTAGCGCTTAATACAGCATCTGCCGAGCGTGTGATACCTGACATTCAACTACCACTTAAAACAGGTTTATCTCGAAACTTTATTTCTGGAGTTGTGCTATTATTGCAGATCATAAACGACCTACATACTACGAGTACATCAGGGAAATTGCATATAACCTCTCGCCTGTTAGGAAACGCTGTTGGAACTCTTGGGGGCTGCAGCAGCCGGACGCCCCTTCCCTCGTGGGAAGGGCTTTAAAATTCGGTGTGGCAATTATAATCATGGTAGTATAAGAAGCGCTACTCACATTTCATTTCCTATTATCTTGTGAAGTGTGGAAAAGTAATAAGAACCTCAAGAGCATAAGTTAAGTGATACTGTGCAGTAAAGTCAGGTGCACTGTGGAATGCGCACTTAAAAAAAGGGATATTTAATGATATGGGAGATGATACAAACAGAGGTTATATGTGAATGATGTTATAGTAATTTAATATCGATATTTAATGGCAATGTCACTTATTCTCCTAAGCTTGTTAGCGTGCAGTGTATCCAGTAACTTTTAAGTTAGCAGGACCCTTTTAGCAGAAACAAAAATTACTATATGCGAAATTAAAGGCTATAGTCTAATTAAGTGCCCTATTCGCGAATTTAAGGCTTTGCATATCTTTAAAAACATGGGTTCGGTTAACTATACAAAAAGATAGCAGGACCCATTTTCAAAATACTAAAAAAACTAATCAGAATTATAAAACAATAATTAGAAAATTAAAGGCTAATTAACGGTTCTTAAATTATATCATTTAATTATAATAAGGAAATATGGAAATTCATAATATACAATATTTCATAAACATAAGCTTTGGAAACCTAAATTCACTTGGTCACACATAAAACAACATACGCCTCTGATAAGAAATCATAAATAAAAATTAAGACCCAATATAACTTTATTACAAAAATCCACAACCTTTATTCGAGAAAATGCGATATCCTGAAAATATGAACATAAATCAATGCTTTAAAATCAAAGGAAATGTCACATGTTTAACGTCATTATATTAAATTACCCAATAGTATGTTCATTGGTAAAATGTGACGCCTTTCGATTCTCTCTCTCTCTCTCTCTCTCTCTCTCTCTCTCTCTCTCTCTCTCTCTCTGTCTGTCTGTCTCTTTCTCTCACCGTCTGCCTGTCACTTTCTCTCACCGTCTGCCTGTCACTTTCTCTCACCGTCTGCCTGTCACTACATCCGTCTGCCTGTCTCTACATCCGTCTGCCTGTCTCTACATCCGTCTGCCAGTCTCTACATCCGTCTGTCTGTCTCTGTCTCTCTCCAATGTGCGTATTTGTATGTGTGTGTGTGTAAGGAGAGGGCGCCGGGGCCGAGGCGAGGAAGGCAAGGACGCTCACCTGCCTCGACGACGTGCTCGAGCGTGGGGAAGCGGCGCTTCACGGCCGAGCTGATGGAGCGCAGCACGAGGATGAGCGTGAGGTTGAGGTAGCGCATGAGCGTGCGCCGCACCATGCGGGCGTGCTCGTCTGTGCCGCTCACGTACAGCGCGATCGAGTGCATGATCCTGCGGACAGCAACCACACCAAGCGGTCGTCATTCCGCGCTCTCACTGCACCAAATATTTGTTAGGCTTTAATCAATGCGTGCATTTTACTCCGTGCCGACTTTCTAATGAATGATATTTACTTCACATCTCTGTGCAGTATTTATTACATCCAAATTGATTAGTGGCTCCGTTGCAACTTACGAGTAACTATACGATCATTGAATACGGTTCGTACCTGTTACTAGTATAATATCTCTATTGTGCAGAGAATACACATATCCCCATAGTACGTCACACACAGTTTTTTAATTGTTTCTGACGTGAAATATATAAAAAAGTCTTCACGTCTTCTTTAAGGTCTCTATTGTCAATTGTCCTGGGCAAACTCTTTTTAATTTCTGAGGATCTGTCCACAAAAAATAAAGAAATGTATGTAAAAAAGCGTTTTTTCTAACTAACGAAAATCCGTCTCTGATGACTTAGACCACATGTATATGTGATCAAAAGCTTGTTCGATTCCTTTCGACAAGATAAATCGATTGCTTATTGTGTTTCGGCTAGGATGCTCTGGACAAAAAACGTAGTTTTGATTGTTTTAATGCACCTACGAATACATTAGTGGACTTGATTCATCAAATTCATTGATTTAAATGTAATTGTGTAATGAAACAAAAATTAAAACAAGTATTTTAATCGATGCATTTTCATATACCTTTCTTTGCCTGAGAAATGGTTGAATCAGGCCATTTCTTTTTCATTTTTTCCTTCTGGGGGCTTTTTCCAGCTTTCAGGGGAGCCCCTTTCGTCCTTCCGCACCGGGAACCAACTGTCCCTATGGGGACACATATTAACACTAGACACTGCCATATTTGCCAGCTTCTCGGTCTATGATCAGCAATCGCAGGAGGCATTCCGCGATAACGCATACATGGAAGGCAAGGGACAAACAACCATGCCCACGGCGGGACTCGAACCCGCTTCCCTTCAGACCGAGGCGCTGAGACGGCACACGCCCTAGTGCAGTTAGCTCTAGTCGATATCTCAGTCGTTAGATCGAGCCGGGCAATTATAATATGATTAAAACCCATACGAACTAGTACAAATCCAAGTTTCGATTATGAATATATCGCCACATATACGCCATGCCAAGCCAATATTATAATAGTATTCTACGTCTACACAAAAAATAGTTTTTAAGCAGCAAAAATATTTGCTTGGGCTAGGATTCCGCTAGATACATAGATTCTGCAAACAAAAACTTCATCAATACTCAACCACCTGTCTTCGCATACCAGCGCTCCCAACGCGTCAAAAAGAAAGTTCAAGTTCAGCAAGTTTTGAATACCTAAAGCAGTGCTTGCCAACTCAGTGCTCCGTGACGTCACAAAACTGCTCTCCTTTTCCAAACGGAGCGGCCGAGCAAAGGCAGGGCGGGACGCAGCGCCGGACGTTCAGTGCTCCAATGATGGTACGGAAGTGGAGAAAAAGGTTTGCCCGATAATTACGGTTTTGAATGGTAATTAGTATTTAAATGTTTATGATTTTTTAAAAGTTGAAAAATTACAAAAAATAGAACGTATTTCATAACACAAAGCAATGTTCGACTCTCTTTTAGCCAGAAATTCCACGTAGTTTTGGGAGGTCGTGGCGCAATTCCGGCTTCGGATTCTGATTCAGCGTCGGCGCAGACATAATAGTCAGTCTCAATGTCAGATCAGGAGCTCCCCATTAGACCAGGTTCGCACAGCATTTTGCGCGTCGGACCTCGAGAGCCGGGCGCGGGACCCTCCAGTGCAAACGAGGGTAAGTTTGAAGGGCAGAGATGTGGCAAATTGTAGGAGAGGGGACCGCAAACTAGAATGCGCCATTCGAATCATAGCGCGTATATTGAGAGAGTAATCGACGAGAACATGACGATCACATACAGTTCAAGTAATGATGCCTTTTGTACTATATTGGAAATGTTTCTTGTCGATATATGCGAATTACGGTAAACGTGAAATATGGAACTACAACGAATTATAAATATTTTAGATACCAAAAATATTATAATTGCATGTAGTGCTGATAATGTAATTCGTTTTGCCTCGATGCAATCACAAATATAGTGTTTTGCCAAACACGAAATTATGATACTGAATTGTTTTTGTTTGATGACGACAGCAATGAACTATATTTTCATTAACTATGTTTAATTGAATAAGACGATTCTCACAAAGGCAAAAATATATTATTAAAAAAGATCATGATTATTTGTTTCTCTAATTTCTGACAAGAGTTCGTTATATATTTCTAATATCAAATCAATGATCACTATTAATTTATCATTTACGACATCGAATAAAAATGTTAAGTCCTTTGCATTTTATTTAACATGGCCCATGCTTATGTCATGATTACCCGTAACATAACATAAGAGAGGTTTGGTCGTTGATATCTTCAGATTCATAATGGGGGGAAATGGTCAAACATTTATGTGCTGCTAAACATTACCCTTCTTTAATTGCCTATATACCATTTTTATGTCAATCTTGATGTGAGAGATTGCTCTCATAATTTTCGGCATTATGCTATCATTTGGAGATTATAACATTCTGGGTGAACAATAAATTATTACATTGTAAATTTTGTTAGTTAGAATTTAATAATAAAGTTTAAAATAGGTCACTACTTTATAATATTGCTTAAGAGTATCAATGAGCATCAGTTAAGAAGATACATACAGTGGATACAAATGTGGAAACGCAGCAGTGTACAGAAGAACTTAAACAGTGAATTATGGTCCTTGCGGCTTAAAATACGGGACACTTCTCCCCTCCCCCGAAGCTTCCTACACCCACTACTTCCACTTTCGGCGCTATCACAGGCAGACGCTCGGCTTGGAAGTGCAGTATGCCCGCAGGCCTACATTAGACCATTAATATCCCGAAAAAAGAGAATACGTTTGTCGAATGTGTGCGGTAGTATTCCCAATAAAGTATTGGAAAATGAATTATTTGGTTAAGGTGTCAAACAGCGGTTATCACAGTGGAACCAACGTCTTTTCTCGGGGCAGGCTTCTTTAACCCCAATCTAAACTATATCATGAGTTTTCGCCGCCAGAGCATCGCACCGGAAGACGGAAAAAGCGCGTCCGGAATCATTTCGATTCACGAAAGAAGAGGCGCCACGTTGGGTATACGTAACTTCAGATATTATAACGTATCTTCACTGCAGCCATTATGGACACGTCACCAGCAACTGCCCAGTGGAACATAGTTAATTCCCTGGAAAAGAACAAATTCCATCAAACAGGACAGAACGTCTCTGCTTGGCACCTGTTGAAGGTTCGCGTCCTCTCTCGCGGTCCTCGTTTGGTGCGCGATGTCGCAAACACGCCGCCCCCCTCTCTTCCCCTTCTCGCTGCCCCATCCGCTGCGCGCCGACAGTGAAACGACCCCCTCCTCGTCAACCCCCTCCTCTACTACGACGTCATTAGTTGAGCCACCCGACAGCGACAATGAAACAATTGAGAAGCATTCCGAAGTATCTGATGAGTATTTACCGGAAAAAGACTTGGGAGAAATTAGTAGCCCTGCATCTTGCGAATAGGCAACACCTGGACACTAATGAATTTGAAAATATTATTGAACAATACCCCCACCCCGTTTTAAACTTAAGCGATTTCAATAGCCTAAAATACTCTCTAGGGTTCTGTCAAAACTGACAAAAAGAGGTAGAAAGATTTAAGATTGACTTAGCAATTATGAAGAAATTATTCTCTTAAATAGAGGCTTAGCTAAACATTTTTATGTCAGTTACGAATCGGAAAAAGTTATTGACTTAAGCTTTGCTTCAACTGACATTGCATCATAGATGACAGGGGAATCTCAACAAAATTCATATGATTTGACCTTAACCCCTATGACACTACATTTCCCAGATCAAGTATTTACAATCCACAAAACGCATCGAAGATGGATTTCAAATCAACCAGAATGGTCAATGTTTCAACATTCTATAAATTAAAATATTGGTAAACTTAGTCATCTGGATTCCTTACAATCCACTCAAATCAACATAATAGTAAAATATTTTAATAATGTATAATGTAGTATATTACGAAAACATCAAGTTCCGTGGTGGAATGAAAAATGCAATATTGCCATACAAGACAAGAAAAGAGCTTTCAGAAAGTTCAAGGACAAAACTATAAAAACCCATCTACTTAACAAAAGAGCACGAGCTAAAGCACGTTTAACTGTGTTTCCTGCTATGATATAATATGGGCAAATTTCACATCTTCAATAACTAATCGCATCAACTTCCACACCCTAGAACAAGAGGTGCTAAAATAGCACTACTTTCCCGCCCGTACTTTCATATAAAATAATGTGAAAAGCACTCAAATTTGCGAAAAATTGTACATCGCCTTATATCAAAACTTATCTTTAAGGAACAGATTTCCATAAAAGAAATATATTTTATCTTCTTAATTGTAGTTGTAGGATGACGCAAAAATATTTTAAACTTTCGCAATTTTCAAAAAATTAAGCCTTTCAACGAACATGAGATCTGCACCATTCTCATAAACGTCGTAAACTCTATTCAACAACAAAATTTAATCAAAAACGAAGGAGCCATTTTTATTCAAAAAATTGAAAATGCCCCAAAGGCTTCATGTAAAGTACCTTCAAAATTAAAATATCGCTTTCAAATTCAAGGGGTGCGTCACCAGTCAGATCGCTACGGGAATATCAATTTGGGGCAACATCTCCTTGACAGTTTCGCCGCTAGCGTTGGCCACAGACGGACGTTTTGCTGTCAATCGTATTTCGGAACCAAGAACCAACAAAACGTGGATTTGGACTGCACCACGTGTTAGAGGATTTAACCTCTAAATTTAGCATCTTGGATTAGGTTCCCAACTACGATTTTTTTATTTATTTCAACTTCCACCACTTTTTCGTTACCAAGACCTGTAATAAGAATTTTTTTGCC